GTGCGGTGAACTTGGTTAGCTTAGGGATGTCTCTGCCGGTTGTCGATATCGTTAGCTCTCGGTTCATCGGTGTTTGGGACTGTGCTGGTAGGGAGGCGCCGGATCTGTCCATGGTCATCGACCTTGTAGTCCGGAGCATCCACTTCCTTTTGGACTTTCACATCCCCGGTTGGATCTGAGCTCCTCGATGGTCTTTTTGCGGTCCGTCGGGTTTGAGGCTCGGAGTTTGGATTCTCTTAAGGTCTTCTCTTTTCTTTACTCAGATCTCCTCTAGTTTGATTCATGTATCGACTACTGGTTGCTTCCATTGTCCCTGCTTTTTGGTTTAATCTTTATCTCGTCTTCGGCTGGTTGATGAGTCTATGCCTTTGTTTGTCTCCTGATCCTGCTTGTGGTGGTCTTTTGGGGCTGTGTGTTTTAAGGGTGACTCGTTCTTTATGAAGAAGATGTTCTCGAAGTTGTTTATCCTCGCCTTGCTGCTTAGTTCCCTATTTATTCGATGTGAATAATTCTTCTATTGGCTTTATGCATATCAACACCTTGCCTTTGTGTACTGGGTTGTTTATTAATATGAAGAATCTTGGATAAGATTGGGTTCTACTCTTGCTCGGGATGGGTCTCTTCTTCCTGGTTAAACTTTGGCTTTTGTCACTCTTATTTTATTTGGTTCTAGCTTGGACTCGTGATATGGTGACTTTGTCTCGAGTGTGCGTGCAGCTCCTACTCACCTTTATCGACGTTGTGATTCGAAGCAGTGGTTCTCAGCTTAAGGGGTTCGTTGGAAGGAAGACTCTTCGCTTGGTTGGTGTTCGAGTTAGTTTGGTTGGATCTTTAATCTTGACTTTAGTTTATTGTTGCCTTAACTATACTTTGGTTTTCAGATTTTTAGAATTCGTTTTTTCGTCTGAGGATCTCGGTATAGATCCTCCATCGTATTTTTATTTTTATATTTCATCCTTGTATTCCAAAAAATATTCCAATTCTGTATTCTACGATGTTTAATATAATATTTAAATGAAACAAAAGAAAATTTTTTTATAATATTTGTAGAATAACACTATTTATAACCGAGGAAATATTAAATAATATTTTTGCGTTTGTAGAAATGTAACGGAGAAAATAGTAATATTGCAAAACAAAAAAATCCCAAGACCCGAGACATGCGGATTTGGAAAAGAAAAAAACTTTATTTATACCTTATGTTAGTTGTATCTCAAACCTCACTTACCATTCAAACCCAGTTAACACTATGAACACT